GTCATAGTTGTGAGTCCTCCGACAGTCGTCGACCTACAAGTCACAAAAACTTGCTTTATGTATCTTGATACTTAGAAATAGATAAGTAATGAGAATTTGGTAGTTGTGTCTTGTGACATTCACCTATTTGAAAAACAAAAAACTTACCATATCTAGATACGTATAACTTGACAATAAAGGCAGCCTGGATCTATAAAACTGGCCAACATATGAAACATAATGCCAAATCTGTGGTCTTTGTTGCTAATTTCTAGCTCAAGTGAATTTTTTATTTTTATGGTGTCCAAGAAGTGTAAAATTAAACAGTATTTTCTGTTTTACAATCTTCAAGATGACAAAGCTAGAAAAATCATAAATATATTGTCTGAAAGCTAAGATTATTTACTTTCTAGCCACTTATATGCCTTAAATATCCTTTCCTTCCTTGTATGAAATGTTTTCTAAATGTTTAGTTATTATGTCAGAAGCCTTCTTTAATCACACTCCTTCAGATAGGCTAACCTCTATCATGGGTTTGGATGTTGAACTTTACATAATGACAGTCTTGTGTAGAAGTTCAATGAAGCACAGAAAAATGATATTTTTTTATATAACTTGTAAACAAGGTTTGATCGTACATGGAAAATGTAAAATTATTCATTACTTCTGATGTTGTGAACCAGTAGGACAGGAATGATAAGGGGACATGTGGATTAAGCAGGCCTTGGAACAGGAACAAAAGGATGAGGTTGAGAAAGATAAAAAACCAAAGAAGGCAATGAGGATAGATGCTGGACTGCCTAGGCTCAGGTCTGCAGAGAGTTGGGAACACCATTGAAAACCTTCGAACAGAGAAAAGAAGCTATGAAGATCATGGAGATAAGAGTGAGGCAGGCAAACATTAATTAGAAGAGAACCACCCAACCCAACAAGTCTCAACAGCAGAGGAACCAAGTAGAGAAGGATAGAGCAGCAATAGTAGTATGGGCTAAAGTGGTGAAAAGAAAAAATTAACCTCCTCAGAAAACCCTCCAGGAGCACAATGAGGTAACATAGGAGGGTGGTAAGAAAGAGAAGAAGGCATGAAATATAGGCTCTAGAAAGTGAAGTAGAAGCTAAGGGGTCCACCCCTCAAGCAGTAAGAGATTTCAAAGACTGGGAATCAAGGAATGGAAATGAAGAATGGTTGTAAACCAAGACAAAAGAGTCAAGTAGGCGAGGAGGATAAGACATGTAAATACAGGTGCACAGTTGGTCAAGAAATGAGTTTGCATTACAATAATATCAGAAGGAGAGAAGACAGTAGTCTTGAGAAAGGTTTAGTGTAGTAAAGAACAGAAGGAATTGAAAAACATTGGAGAAAGAAAAGAACATACTTGTAAAATCACATAAAGAAAGAGATTAGAAGAGTGAGGATTTTTCTTCACTGATAAAGCAGTACCTAGAGCAAACCCTGGTGGGGGAAAACAGCCAGTCAAGATTATCCTGGCCATATTCAAACTGAGAAGAAGGAATGTCAGCCAAATGGATGGGAGAAGAAGGCCCTGTATGCATGAGGGAACTCACAACTCATCGAACAATGACTGTCACATCCCCCACGGATCCTGTGTTAGTAACATCATCACCATCAAGTAACAAAGTAGAAGTTACTGCCACTTGAAAATTCATAATGGTGAAGCAGTGAAAAAAAATTTTCTTGTTGTTTTGTAAATAAATAAAGAAATAGCTAAACTTGAAGTTCTGTAAACTTATGCAATCTTATGTAATTAATTAATAAGTTTAAAACACGTTCTTTCAAGACAATGCCAAGGAAAAGAATGAAGTTATTTGGAGCGCAAGTGTTTAGGGGGAGTTATTGCATAAGGAGGATGTGTTGACCTCCTATTGGTGGAGGGCTATTGTAGCCTATGTATCAGAAGCTACATGTTTCGAAGACTGAGCCTGCCCCTTCATACAAATTAAGAAAGACTTTCAAACGAATGAGATACTGGGAGGGGGTAAAGACTGAACTGAAGAGATGAAACAGCCACACCAAATGAGACAACTTCCAGAACTGAGATTAGAATGGAACCAACCATCTAGTACACAATGGCAGTAACGCCACTGACTGCCAGAGTGCCCTACTCATTATTACACCAGTGGATGACTTATTGAGGAGTGTCAAAACCTCAAGAGGTGTACAAATGTGGAAACATAAATTTGTAATTGAGATGATACATGAAACCATCTTTATGTTGTTTTATTTTTGGGGGGTGGGTGGGTGTATGTAAATATGCCTAGGTCAGTGGTATAATGATGAAATTGAAGAGTCCTTAATGAAACCTGTATGCTGGGATAAAACAACAGGAAATAATACTGTCCTAAGAAACCTTATCACAGACACTGAAACATATGTACCAAAATTAAGAAACTGAGTAAAATGAAAAATCTAATTTAAGACAATTTAAATCAAGGTTTCAACTGAAGTGTTTGAAAATGTGGTAGCTTTCTTTTTTTCTTAAAATTAAGAAAACAAGCAGAAGAAAGACTACATAATGAATGGTAATGAAAGTTTAAATAACAAGAGCAAACAAGTTTGTTAATCTTAAGAAAAATCCCATCTCAACAAAGCAATGTGAGGAAAAGTATGAGCCTTTGTTTTAAATGCTAGTGTTCATAGGGTTTACTGTGTACGGAGGATATGTTGTCCGTTGCTGGAGGGCTATTGTCTAAAGACGATTACATCATAGACTAGCTCGTCCATGTTAAAACATGTAGGAATGGTAATTTCATCCAAGGCTTGTGGCACACACAAAAATTTTCTTGGCACATGTGTGAAGTAATAGCTCTTGGTTCTGTGAAGAGGTGAGTAGTATTTCTGATGATTTACTTATAAGAATATGATCAGTAGTATTGAAACTAGTATGGAACAAAAGAAAGATTGTAAAATTAGTAATTTGATTAGTATGAAATCTAAAATGTAAAGGTTTCATAAAAAATTAACATTAGCAGTACATTAACCAAAGAAGAAAAATTAGCACTGCAGTCCTTAATGAAGGTGTTATTACTTAAGCTGATAGAGATATTAAACAAATGTAATTACACAGCTAGTTTGGACATTTATTTGGTTCATATATTAGTAAAAGAAAAAGCTGGAAATGTATAACTTTAGCACCTAAATTAAATTTACTTTACTTTAATTCTAACTTCAACCCATCACATTTTTCTACCTTACCTATAAGCTAGAATTTAAAATTTTAAATCCACTGATTCTAGTATAGGGACTTCTGTATAACTTGCAAAACATTGTTACGAGGTTTCTGTACCTATGCAGTAATAATAAGTAAAATATAAAAAATTCAGTTGAATTTGTAGACAAATTTAAGAACATACAATTTAAACTTACTGATATGTTTGTATCATTTGACTTGGTCTCTTTGTTCACTAAAGTTGGAGTAGAAGAAACTATTAACAGCTTTCGATAAAGGTTAATTAAGACTATGGTATCACTTCTGGATGTAACAGATGTCATCTACTTAACCTGTTCATGTGTTGAAACCTCTTTTTTAAAAATGAATAATTACTATCAGCAAAAGATGAGATTGGCTATAGGTCCCCTTCTCATCCCTTTGTGATATGAATGTGGACAAATATGAATGTACTGCACTTGACAATACTAATTTAAAATCCAATTTTTGTATAAATATGTGGATGGCATGTTCTTGGTATGGCAATTTGGTGATACTGAGTTGCATAACTTTGCTGACTACTTAAACTAAGTTAAAACATCCAAATAAATTCAATTCATACATAAAATAGAACAGAATAACTGTCTTTCATTTTTAGTTGTACTATGAAAAGAAACTCTGATGGAAATATTTCCATGATAGTTCATGGAAAACCATTACTCAGTCTCCATGATGTCACTAATTCCCAAAAGCTAAGTTTCAAACCTTTTTAAGATAGAATATTTAAAATATTCTATAATGAAATGGGCTTAAGGAAAAAATTATTTAAAAAAGTACAGGGCTTCAAGGTCTACATGAGAAAATAAATTGTAATTACCATCATCATACAGCATACTACACTGAAATGTGTAAGATATGAAGGCCAAAAGCACAGTTGTACTGCCAAATATACAAGAATTGATGAAAACAAATACATTCCCATTTTCAAATCAATCAATAAAATTAAAATATAAAGAAATAAAATCTAATGTTTGAGAATCTATTTGGAATCTTGTGTATTGTGCTAACACACAATATTGAACCAAGATGATGGTCCAGTAAATAATCCATGGAATGAGAAAGTCCCTTTCTTGTATATGATGCTCAATGTTGTAATTTATGTTAAAAGTTACCCTTGATAATGGTATCAAAATACTGTCAAAACACTTAAAATTTTGAATACAAGTTGTAATTAAACAAATGTTGTATGTGTAGCAAGTCACTCCTGATGATGGCAATGAAACACTGTCAAAACAACACAGGCTTCTAATCACATGTTGAAATTAAATTACTGTTGTCATAGCTATAACAATCACTCCTGATTGTGCATGAAAAAACACCACTTGTGTGCTTCATTGATCTCACAATTCTTATTTTTCATTGAAATAGTTACTTTAGCAGTTGTGTTTCACTTTACAAAAATCCATGCTGGTAATTTGAAATTAAGGAGCCTTACAGTAGATATTGGCTCAAAATGAGAAAAGAGATCAATGTGGGTGGTCTTTTTGAAACAGCTGTACATAATTTCTAAACAAACAACATATAATAAGATAAATATCTATTTGTATTATTTTTAATATATATTTTATTCCAAGGTTTTTCAACAAAGACATTGTTAGGCCTGTAACAATATGTTATTGCTAACAAGCACATGAAACCTTGCTTTCATGTCAATGGTTTCAGGACATATTGCCTAACAGTATTGTATACAACTATGTCATATAATAGTTTTACTTCAATTATATATTGTAAATTTACCAGGAAATCTAATTTTAGGTTCACAGATATTCAACTGTTATCATGCTTTATGTTTGAAGTGTTTCTATGTTTCAGATGTGGTAATGTTTATGAGTTGTGCACACAAATGACAAAATGGCATGTATTAATTCACATTATAACATTTCAAAGTAAACAGACTGAGGAGGAACTATTATGTCATAACAATTCAAGAAATATACATTTGAAGTTATTGCTTCATGAGTAAGACAACAAAGTAGTTACCAGAACCACTGCAATCACCAGATCCAACATTGAATTATAGTTTAGATACTAAAACCAAATTGTTTCTTAAAAGAAAAAGAAGGAAATTACCTTATATTTCTTTCTTTTCTCTATCTCATCTTTAAGGTTATTTTCACAGACTTTAATTTCTCCTTCCACTGTTTTCAGAAGAGCTAAAAGATCCTGCTCAATACAGAAGAACTTACTATTACATCACATGTTACGTAACATGAGTTTGTTAAAATTTATAATATTCCTTTGCTAAAGAAAGTTTATAAAAAATGTGAATTAACCTAACCACTTAAAATTTCATGTTTAAATTAAATGAAAAACTTCTGAGCTTTCATATAACAAAATAAGGAATAACTTCGTTTACTTTCTAAATTTTGAGATAGGAGAATGGTTCTTAGATTAAAAATAAATAATCCACTTTGCTAAAGATATTATGAAAAAAAAGGAAGTAACACAATTAATCCAAAGCAGTTTGTGTGCTGCCAACAACATCCTACCAACCAGCTTGTTTGCTACTCTTCTGATTAAAGATTTTCTCATACAGCCATATTCTAAGAACTTAATTTCTAAACAGAGAAATAGTAACCCAAACATAAACGAAGGGAAAAGTGGGGGAAGAACAATTACACCAGTAAAAAGATTAGTGAGGAAATATTAACAATTTACAACACTTAAGGGAGGAGTGTACAGAAACACAATGCAACAGAAAAAATTAGTAGGTGTGTAAGAAGAGTATTAAAAATTAAACACCAGTAAACAGATCAGGGAAGAACCAATCCAGAAAACAGACAAGAAAAGAGGAGATAGTAACAACAGGAACATAGAAAAAGAGAAAGGGAGAGAAGCACATTGCAATAGCAAACAGATCAGGCAGGAAATACTAAAATCAAAGAGCCGATAAGAAAATAGTAGACAGTAGTATCAGAAAACGAGGAAAGAATTATTACACAAAACAACAGATAAGAGAGAATTTTAGTAACATCAGACAGTAAAGTAGGAGACGAAATATTTTTAGTAACAAACACAGTCCATATGTGTACCTTAGGAGCAAACTGATGAGGTTCCTCAAGGTGCAGATTTTGTTTACTCTTCCCATGAACTTTACTTTTTCTGTCATCTTTTATAGATTTGGACCCTATTATAAAGTCCCCTGGTTCATCTGCATTATCCACTTCACTTCTAAGTTTGGTTGTCTCATCAGTTTTAGGGGAGTTTTCATCAGTGGAAGCCTGGTCTCCCATCTCTTTCACCACTGACCGTTTTTTTTGCGCTATACTCCTTTCACCAATGTTACTGACACTACTTTGTGGATAACTTTCTCTCTGTCGTTTCTTACTTTCTGTAATATCTTCACAAAATCCTTCTTCACTTTTGTGTACACAGTTATCACTTCCCGTAACACGTATTACAACAAATCTTTTTATATCTTTCATGTCTTCGAATACATGGTTTTCAGGACCTTTACCCTTGCACAGAGAAGAAGGGCTGTTCTGTGTTGATCCCAAATTAGCTGATCTTACAGGAGAATTAAAAGCACTACCAGCTTCAGAAGAAGTGTCTGTGCTGGATGCACTTGGTGTGGGAGATGCTTGAAACTTTGTCTGAATGGTTAGAGGTCTCATCAATTCAGCTCTGGTATTAATTGAGAGGGACTTCATGCTTGGTGGTTCTCTCTCCCCTAAAAAATTCTCTGCCCCACTTTCATTTTGTGAATTACTAATATCAATCTCCATGACATCTTCATCATCACTATAGTCTGAACCACTCAGATCTTCATAGCGAGGCCGAAGTTGAGAAGGAACATTACCAACACCTTCCATCATGGGACTTTTTGCATAATTGTGACTATCCAAAGCAGGAGGAAGCTTTGGGAAGGGTGAGGTCTCATTCTGTTGGGCTGACCTTAGCTTCACTGGAGTGCTGAGAAATCAGTACATAAAACATCTATATTATTATAGCGATAATTCTACAAGTCCTACTACAACATTACTTAATTAGACTATTCTATGAAGGTAAATGCATATTTCCATTTCTTAATTTTAAACATTTCATTGCACTATACATTGATGATAATAGCTAGAGTTAGTGGTATAGTAGAGAAGATGGAAAATAAATATAACAGTTACCTTAAAAAAACGTTTGATATTAATTTATAAGGTCCTAGAGATTATGCAAATGACATGTGAAAAACTATAAGATAATAAATAGCATTTTTACACTCAACATGAAAATTACCTTGCAGGTAAATTATTCATATTCAAAGTACAAATAACTACATTAAATAACCAATTCTTATTCAAAATAGTAGAAAAAAATCTAAATTAAATGTTTTATTTTTTTGAAAGTATATACTTTTAGGAAAGTTCTTGTCAAATTTCAAACAACTTCATCCACTAGTTTTATTTTTGGAATGAAATATGATGAGAGCATCGATACCTACTAAGAATTTTAGTAGCTTTTGGACATAGGGTTAATCAAAATTTGTGTTAAATCAATTTGTCACAAAAATAGTCAACTAATGAAAATCAGTGTTACAGATTACACAGGCCTGTGCATGTTTTATTTTTACATGTTCTACAGTAATTCCTGTATACTGAATCAAAAAATTTTATCCATTTTTCTCCATCACATACAGATGTTTCACAAAACATTATAATGCAAAACATAAAAGAAAGACCACAACACATAGTTTTGAGATTAAAAGATGTAGATTTCACAAAAAAAAAAATCAAGATGAATAAGGATGCATATTCGTTTGACGTCAATGTTCTTCCCTTTTCTTCAGTTTGTTTGTATTTTTCTTAACAAACATATTAATAAAAAATATTCATTGTGGTAAATGAAATAATAATGTGATCTAAGTAGGTTTTTCTTCTCAATTTGTAAACAATCCTTACATGATAGAAAAAAATGAATATTATTTTCAAAATCTGTGAAGCTGAATTATGGAAAACCCGTTATTAAAACCAAAACAACTTTTATCAAGTATAAATTTGCAGGCTTGTGTTATTGCTGTTTTCAATTATTTCAACAATCGATTAGTTGAAATTAGCATTTCCAAACATTACTGTTTTCAACTGTTCCAACGATCATTTAATAAAAATTACGATTAAGTTGATTGTCATGAAAATAATTAACTACTTGAAATTAGTTTATGATTATTACTATTTTTGATTATTCCAACTATCCAAATAATCAAAATGTTGTTTTATGTTTGTTTGTTGTTAAGCACAAAGCTATATAGTGGACCGTCTGTGCTCTGTCCAACCTTAGTCTTGCAAGTTTTGTATTTCAACCTTGTTTAACATTGGTGATTTGGGGTCATGATTCAAGGGTCTTGAGTTTGACTCCCATTGCCCTTAAACTTGTTCACTTTGTCTTTGTTATGGCAAAGCTGCTAATCTTCCACTGTCAGCAACTGCTGTCAAATTTGTGTTTGTTTTCTTTCTGAACTGCCTACTAGAGGAAAGGCAACTGACTGGCAACACTCACTGCCAATATTTTTGTTTTCTTTTTGATCTGCTGATTAGAGGGGAGGCAACTGTCTGTCAGGACACTGCCAATTTTTTCCCTTCCAGGTATCATGATTTGAAGAACTGTACTAATCAATTAACAGGCCAGCTGATTAACCGATTAGCAAGTACCACTAATCATTATTAACACGTCTAGTTTAAACCCATCTGACAGATGAATAACAGTAACTAATACCATTATCAATAACTTACTTAAAACCAAATGACATCTGAATTAAATTAACTAGTGCCATCATCAACATGCCTTTCTTCAAGCCAATAATGGTGAATCACACTAACTAGTATCGTTATTAGATATGGGCAATTAATTCAATATAACTGATTACCTATGAGCATCGATTAATGTCCCATAAAATAATCAATGAATAGAAAAATAGTACTTAATCAACATCATAAGCAATCTAATACAATAGACAAATTGTTTATAATCTACAACATAAATTTACATAATAGATAAATACTTCTTAATTTACAGCATAATTTGATATAATAGATAAATAGACCTTGATCCACAACATGAACAATCTAATAATAAAGATGAAGATGGTTGACGAAACATAAAATATTTTATTTACAAGGTTTGAACATTTTGGAATACAGTTATTCCATCTTCAGCAAAATCTGAAAATAGTGTTACAAAGATATTTATTAACTACTGCTATAGTACCATTAATAACTAGTTTACTTAGACACTGAGTAAAGTGGTAAACAGAAGGAAAAAGAAAAAACAACAGACTATGGAATATATTATGAACAGTTGAGATTTAACTGTTTAAATTTAGAATAATTTTTACATTTAAAGAGGTTTGCAAGTTGTTAAGAATAGGGCAGTCTTTAGCTATGAGTAAAATTTCTTAACCATGTTCAAGGTCTTAAGATCCTATAATCATAATAGAGAAATAACTACATGAAATACTGTGACCAGTGATTTCAACATGTACAAATGGATGAATGGCTGGGTTTAAGTAATGGACTGTTAGTTCTGGTTGATACTCTTAAATGTTCACAGACTCTAGGTTTCAAGTGGTGTTTTATCTTGCCAGTGTATGTGACCTCACAGTCACAACACATATACTTATACATGAACCATGAACATAGAATTTTAGGTACTTATTCATTATATTGAAATAAGTGTTTAATGCAGAGGCTAGGTTTGTATATTAGTTTGTGCTGAATTTGTTTTCTAGCTTTTTAAGGATTGTGAGCCCACAAAAGGAAGACAGATAATGAGGGTAAATTTAGGGACAGTGTGCACAGTAGGTGGCTGGAATTCACTGTTTAGAAAATTGTGAGAAATATGTTTTTGAAAATCAATTGGATAGCCATTATTTAACAGGTGTTTCTGCAAACGTTTTATTTCCCATGTAAAATAGAGTAATTTTAAGAGTTTTATCCCCAACTTCTTTAACCATAATCCAATGCAAGTGTTATGAACAATCTAATTTAACAGACAAACACTCCTTAATCCACAACATGAACAATGTTATATAATAGATAAATTGTCCTTAATCTAAAATTTGAAAATTATTGTTAACAATGAAAACACCCAATTGATGAGACAGTGCATATTAATATTTATATGTAAGAATGCAAGAAAATTATATCTAATTAGCAATACTCATTACTATGTTGACTTTTTGTTTTGCTCTAAATAGGTATCTTGCTTTGATCACAAGTTAATATTAAAAATAATAATTTAATTGACAAATAGTCCTTAATCTACATCATAAACAATTCAATGTAACAAACAGTTCTTGAACTATATCTTATATTAAGAGAAGGGAAAAAATACTTAAACTTTTTTAATTGGAACAAATGAAATGAAACACTAGCTTAAAAACAAAGCTTCCTAATAACACCAGACACAAACCTGAGGTCGGGCATTGGTTGAACACACTCTGATAATACCAAATCTTGGTTAGGATTTGAAGATTTTCCATCATTGACAGCAGCCAGATATTCAGCATGGTCATCAGATGTCAGTTCAGGATGAGTTAACTTTACAAGCTATTGAAATGAAATGGTAATAAAACCACAATTAGCCAACACTTGAAACATTTATTCTAGCAGCCAGAGCATTATATGTTAATTCTGGATGAATGTGAAATAAACAGAAGTTTAAATTATTATAAACATATAATATGACAGTTTATAGAATAATTTTAAAGTAATAAAGATAAATAGCTACAGTTTGAATTAGTTTATCTTTTCAATACATTCTGTAAATTTCTCACATTCTGAAACATTTTTTCCAGTTATTTTGTTGCTTTTTGTCACATTTCTGGTGGAAGATGCAAAAATAACCAGTTGTTTCTTAAACTTTTGATGTACATCCAACTGTTCTAATTTTGTGTGATTATTAAACAATTTGCATTTATATTAGCTGTTTTACTCTGTAAATGTCTGGAATCTAAGTTAGAGTTCATCAACATTAAACATTTTATTGTACAATAACAACTAGAATTTGTTCAGGTGATTTTAAAGCATTTTCATATTTAAAAAGCTAGTGAATAATTCAGCTCAGGTTGATGAAAGCCCAAATTACATCTAAAGCAGATATATTAATCCTCAAATCTATTGGCACAAGTCATCAGGAATCCCCAAATTCTTAACAATCTAAAAGTACATCTTATCAATGTAAAAAATTCAGACTAGCAACCAAGATCAAATGGAAACAAAGCTATACAAATATAAACACTATTGTCTGAGCTTTTCCTGAAAGGAACTGCGGCAAGAGTGACTAAGTTATCATGTTTATGTACTGCTCACCTGTTCTAGGTTATCAGCCAAAACTTAGATGTTTAATTAAATATGTTTTTTATGTATTCTCCATATTTATCATAAGCAGTAACCCATGGTCATGAGACAGTGTTTGTTAATAACAACCTAACACCATTAGGAGAAATGTTTGTCAAGTAACCTTAATGTTATTAGACAGGTTTGTAAGACTACAACGAGGAGAGTTTATTCAGTAAACTAAAGACCATGATACAGTGTTTGAGACCAAAAGAGGTTGAGTTTGTCATACTAAAATCTATAAAACACCAAACAATGTTAAAAATGTAGTTCTGATACTATTTCATGACAACCACGTTACATTATTTACCGACATATTCAAATCATTTTTGTATAAAATACTCAACCCTTTGTACATATACATTTTTATTCTCCTGTAATGAAGTTTCTTCTCATGTTTTAGCATTTGTTAACTTCCAGTGTTTGATTCTGTCAAGTTTGATTTACAACACTTGTTGAAATGTAAAATTTTAAATTTAAAAAACATAACTTCAAATTAATACTACCATTAAAACAAAGAATCAGTTTTTTAAATAATATATGAGGTTTAAGGGTTAAAAATGATATAATAATTTATTGTCAATGTAGTGTTATTGAAGAGTAACAAATGTTACATTTTGGGGTTATTATTCAAGTATCATATTTTACATTATTAAAGTAAAAATGATACTTAACTCTGAAATACTCCAAGCCTTTCCTTATTGTGTTTGAACCATGCCATCAATAAAACATATGACTCAAGTTTTCACATGTCCTTTATGCATCTCCACTCCCACATCTTCCATGTGCAAGCATCAAGGGATCTTACATAAACTCTGCTTTCTCACTATAATTCATATTTTAATGAAAACTGCAGTTATTGAAGGAGCTGCCTAACAATATATTCCGAAAGAGCATACATACTCCAGAGGCACTAGCCCCCTCTTCATCCATTTCTAAAATGGCCAGTGAGTCACACAACATCCAAATTAGTGGGTGCTCAGGCAGAATTAAATAAAGACTCAACAATATAAAAAATAAAGAAATAAATAATAAAGCTTGAGATGCCCCCGTCCTGGTATATAGTGATAACAGTAGTTTCATTTCTGATATCTCTAATGCCATGCATGAATGTTCACACAGACATGGGAAAGTTACCTACAGTATATATATATATATATATATTACATATAGAGTCCCCATTGGATGAATATACATACATATTCTCACACCAGGATAGACCAGAAATTTGTTTTTCTTAAATATATAATCAAATAATTACACAACTTCAGACACAGAATTGTTAACAGAAATGTTAGGTGAAATACAAATATTTGGGATGCTTAAGACAAACAGGGTTTAAAGAACCCAAGACAGTCCTGACTGGGTGAATCAATATAAATACAGATGCTCAGTACACAAGAGACTGTATTCAATTATTATATCTTTATTGTTTTATTTATTTTGAAGTAAAAATTATTCCCAATCCCAGACATCCTGGAAATTTTTAATGATGGGTGTTGGGCAAAGCATACAAAAACTCACAAGATATGGCTTTCATAGAGTCTGAAGAATAACCACAGAATTCTGAAATTGAAAATATAGTGATGTCATGAAGGTAAAATAGAAAAAAAACAATATTGAGATTTGTTCTCAAGTCAATCTGTAAGACATATTTAAATGGTGAATCTGATGAGAGAAAACCTACAATTCACATTTAAGGTTGTCTAAAACAAGCCAATTTGTTAATGTGGGTGTAGCAAGATCCATGGGACAAGAATCATCATAAGAGATATGAAAAAATGGTGGATTCCCCTAAAAAGATTCCATTCTTGCAATAAAGGAACAAACAGTCCTGACCAGACATAGAAAACAGTCTTTAGGAGGAGAATCAGGGTCATTCGGGGTAGGTAACACAACAGAAGAAAAACAGTGGTGACCATCTCTCACAGTTCAAGTCTCTGGTAGGAAGGATACAAGTACAGAGCCCTCCTGGAAAAGTACAAGAAACATCAATGTCAAAAACATCTAATCATCTCTCCCCAAAAACAGACAAGAAACGAAAATATGTCTTCAAGGAAAGATGGTAGAATTTCAGGAGAGGCTAGGCAAGCTTCTGTTGAACGTGAAGCAAGTTAAAAGTGAAGTACATGCAAAAACAGAAACTAAGCAGAGATTTTATATAGTATCTTGCAGCATAGTCCAATGGACAGAAGTGTGAAAAGAACATAAGGACCCCACAATAATAAAAACAATATCAGTGAGAACTGCAAGGAAAACATCAAAGCAGATGTGTGATCCTGATTAAAAACAATGAGGAAAATTGCTAATAATTGGCACATAAAAAAATATTTCACAATAAGACAGCTCAGAGCACGTAAAGCAAAAATTTATGATGGTCAAAGTAATAAAAAACAAAACATGGAAGACCCCCCCCAAATAATAATCAAACTGCAAGTCAAAAAATTTGAGAAATAATAAAATGGGAATATGATGTATATGAATAAAAAGCAATAGCAGAAGAAATAAAAGATTCATGTACTAAATCATCTCACATGGCATAGGCACACTCAGCTATGATGGAAATAGATTCAGTAATGAAACAAAAATGAGATGAGCAAAAGTGACATCAAGATTAGGGCTAGCACTGAATACATTGAGCAATCAGGACTGACAATATATCTACAAGTTTACCTTGCACACAACAGACAGATCGTATATGTAAAGCCTCCAACTAAATTATAGAAAGTCCAATAGAAGTGGAAACAGCTGGATTAAGAAGAACAGTGTAGCAAAATTAACAGCATGACTGTCAACAAAAAATATAAATTATAGCAGTAAAACGAATCCCCTAATGCTTGCACAATAAGTCACAGGGAAGGGAGGACGTGGAGAATTATTGGTAAATGACGTTTGGAAATTTGAGTCATGTTTTGTTGACAGCAAAGTTCAAGTTCAAGAAAGACATACGAGACGTAAGTCTATGCAATTTGAAGTCTAATATTAAAATGTTATAAAAGTGTTTCAATGTTAGCCTTTAAATTAAGAATCAGGGTTGAGGTTCATGCTTTTTCTACCAATCATCCATATTCAACATGCACTTCCCTCCCTTACCCCTCTTTGTAAAGTTCTAGCATTGTGTAAGATTAAAACAACAAGAAATATCACAAAAAGCAATAATATACACAGTTACAATTAAACAAACAGAAAATGTTGTTTGGCTTAGCTTATAATCTTAATAAAGAAACAACGTCTAACAACATTAAAATAACATTCAATATCATTGTTATTTGAGATATTATTGTATGAATTCCTAACAATACTAAAACTACACTCAGTATTAATAAATGTAATACACCATTTGAAACACAATAATTTATTATGCAAAAACAAAGATATTTTTAACATGTTTTGGCTACAGTTTTTTGGGTAAAATTAAAATAGGCCAAATAACCATATACATACATATATTTAAAAAACCTTTCCAATAGAACTTGGTGCAGCAATCTAAAAGTTATTATTTTTTAATGAAGGAAGAATATTACAAATTTTGAGAAGAGGTTTATAAATGATTTGACAGTCCATGTATCTAGAGAAAAAGTTTTCCTATTTCAGTTGGGATCTTGGAGAAATAAGGTAGGCAAAAAACTTTATCTTTCTTTTTGTATAAACAGCTCAGACTGTCAAAGATTAGACAAGTTCATATTATGAATTATTTTATTAACAGCTTTATCAATGATTATCACATAATATTCTTTATCTATGGCTACATGTTTAATATAATTTATTTTATTGAAAAGGTGAATATCACTGGATGAAATACAAAATCTCTGTAAGTTAAGAGCATAGAACACATCAGCTTTTTTTATAAAAGGGGTGAAACAAATCTATATGTGGTGGTAAGGTGACTGAAAAAGGTTTATGAGCCAATTAATTGGTTTGTTTTGAATTTCGTGCAAAGCTACACATGGGGTATCTGCACTGAGCCAATTAAATTCAATGTCATTGTTATTTGAGATGATATTGTATTATTGTCCATCAAAACTAAAATAAAACTCAATATCATTGTTATATAAGATGTTACTCTACTGTTGGCCATTTCTTTTATAAAAAACATAATAAAGATCAATACTTTACATTTAATAATAATAATATTGGACACAAATTTTAGCTCCCAACAAATTATATTTACATACTTGCTGAAGAGCTTCCAAAACTATCTGTCTGTTTGTTTTTAATGTTCGAAGTTTCTGTTCATATGCAATTCCATTTGTAACAGAACATTATTATTAAGTTTTGAAAAATACATACATACTTTATTTAATTAGATGATTTTCCTTCAGATCTTTTAAAACAGATTTTTCAGTTCTCCATGTCTCAGTAGTAAGTTGGATGTTTTGTTCCTACAGGACCGTGCTCAGAGGGGGAGGACTGGACAGAAAAATTCCAGCGTGTCATCACAGAGAGGTTAGGTATAGCCACAGGTGGAGAGCCATATCATGATATCCGTTTCAACTTGATGGCAGTTGTAGCTGACCGCCACATTACTCTTATTGGCTTGTTAAAAATCAGGAGCCCAAACAATTGTCTCAAATCAAGAAAAAATTCAAAAGAAGTTTGCAGAAAACTCAGTCTACAAAAAGCAAATTTCCTTAGCTTTTAACCATAAGTCTTACTCATATAAGTCAACAGAGGATGTAAAAGAATGTGTCTGTAAATATTGAAAACATTAATATTTTACTCAAAGGCAAAAGACATAGCTTGAAGATGTAAATCAGAAGTTTCATTAAATAGAAAAGTTTTACCTTCTACACTCTGCCTCAATAGGTTCAGAGGTGTTTGTAATAGAGAGAGGGAAGTGACTGGAGGAGGATGAGGACAACACCAGATTTTCCTTTAATACAGATAAACTGAAGTTTATCCAGACAAGCCTACCATTTGGTTTAATGTTAAGCTTGGCCACCTTGTTTTGTTGTTTGCAAAAGTTAATACTAGTTTAACAATATAGGCATACATAGATTGTCAATTCTTTACAATCACCCAGCATTTCAGCAGGGGCCAAAGGTTGTTTTCATTGACATCATAATTGAGAATGAACGTTCTTGATAGTTACCAATAGACAATCATATAATCCATTGTTCAACTGGAATTAAAAGCAACTAGTACAGACAAGTGTTATCCAATCATCCTTCGTGAGTAAAAATCACACAAAACATACAAAGAGCATAAGGCAATAAAAATAACTTTGTCCTAGTGTGATTGACTACGTAATTGTGTATATATACATTCTGCTATATAACTTTTAAAAACCAGCTTGGTAAGCCCAAGTTTAATATTTTTTGTATAAATTATGAACTCAAAAACTAGCTTTGTTAACTGCAATTTCACATTTAGCATATTTAAATGATAAACTAAAAATCCAACTTTTATAAACTGTTACTAAATTATATAAATTTTTTAATTTACCATGGTCGATTGGATAAGGTTTCAGTCCATCCAACTCAAACAGGCGACCATCAATAGGAACGTAGCTAACAAAGTGAAATGCTTCAATTGTGCGTCCAGTTGGAATTCCAACAGATTTTTCTTGAAGATGACGTGGTTCAGCTCTGTAATAGGAAAAATACTAAT